GGGAAGAATTGCTTCATCTTCAAGTCGAGGTTGCGATAGAAGGTTGACTTCTTCTTCACTTACTCTGACTCGTTGCTTCTTCGTGTGTCTGCATCTTGAGAACGTGACCTCTCTATGTTCCCAGTCAACTCAGGGATTATGTTCTTGTAGGATTTTCATGCCAAGGATCATTGACATGCGCCCGAGGTTTGTGACAAGCAAACTCTCAGTTGATCAGTGCCCCCCAATTAAGATGCTTGTGACTACACGACGAGTAATTGCACTGCCCTTGTTGGGACTGGCGTCTGCATTGAGGATTCTTATTTCGTGGTTTAGAGGTATCATCTTAAACCTGTGCTTTTGAGCAAATCTCTGATCAATGTAACAGGAGAATGCTCCAGAATCCAATAGTGCCGTTGTCTGGACTTCCCGTGATACAAATTTTATCAGCAATTCGATCGAATGTTTAGAAAAACCTGCGGATGCGATATATAGATGGTCGCTAGGTACATTTGTTCTCATGGTACTAATACAATCATCCTGAAGTGTAGTACCAGACTTGTCTACACTTCGTACTGAAAATCCTCTGAGAACTCATCTATCTCGACGATTCTCACATTGGTGTCCTTGACCATAGATGCCAATGCCGTTGATGCCATGTCTGTGCCCTTCGCCTTGTCCTTGCCTTTGCTGGATGGTGGAGTAGTCGAGGTGGTGCTCATCCCACGAAGTGCAGCAATTGCTTGCTCCAATGCCGCAATTTGAGGTGATGTATCCGAGCTACCTTCTTCTTCGACTTGTCGCACCTTCTGCGCTTTTCCCTTCCCTTTACCCTGAGGGGCATTGGTTCGCATTCAAAACCACTTTCCTTTATACTCAGGTTTGGGAGAGGGACACCTTTTCCCTCGCTCATAGGTGTGCTTTCTGCAAAACAAACATAGTTTGTTTGCCAGCCACCTGTCCTGTTCAGGGGAAAGTTCGTGTGCGATTCTTGCACTTGTGTCCATGGCATTAGGGTCCTTGGGGGTGGTCATCTTTGTCATCGTGGTTTGTCTAGTAGACTTGTTACCCGAGATCTGCTGGAGATGTTTGATTTCAATCTCCAAGCAGAATTCGAGATAATCCATCCAAGTGGTTGGAATTTTCGAGGGGTCTAGAGTCTCTGTTACTGACATGATCGTCTGGATGTGGGTCGACCATTGTTCCCTAATTTTGACGATCAGATCTTCGTCAGAGTATCCTGATTCGGAGGTGTAGGCCCTGAAATTGTCTGCGAAGGCAATCATCGTTTTGTGGCTGGTTGCGCAGTGCGCATCTAGCATTGCCTGTGCTGTGTGCTTGGGACCAAGCATCTTGTATGCCATTTCCAGTTTTCTGGTATATCCTGTCCATATGCCAACGTCTTGTCCAGAGGTGAGCTTGATTGCATACTCTTTCATGTACAGAGCTGCTCCTCCTTCCAGATGTGCATTGGCCTGCCGCATTTTGTCCTTGTCGTCAGTAAAATGATTGTAATCGAGCCAAATAAGCAGAGTTGTGAACCAGGTCTCGAAGTTTTCTGACAACTTTCTCCCCGAGTATTTGGGAGGGTCTGGGAGCTTGATTCGACGGGGCAATTGACTGGATTGGCCAGCCGGTTGTTGGATACCTGTGGAAGGTGCATTGATTATGGCAGTGTTGAGCTGGGTTTCCAGCCCAACGATATAGGTCGTGGTCTTTTCCTGTGCCTCCTTCAGGGCGACCATGTTGCCGTAAAGGGTGTCCATCTGGCCCTTTACTTCGTCCTTGTAGTCTTCGAAGTCCTTGCGGATTGCTTGGGCTTCAAGCGTCAGACTATTGTTCACCTTGATGAGCCTTTCTACATCGGTGGAGAGGGTGTCGATCTGAGCTCTTGCAATTTTTAACTGGTCTCGTGTTTCTACTGCCATGATCTCGACATGAATTCGAGCCAGTATCTCTTCTTCTAACGAGACCACCGTGCGCTCGTGACGTTCATCCATCATCTAACGTAGTGCTTCATAGGAGCTTACAACGTCTCTCATGATGAACGCTCGCACCACATTCATTACCCATTCTTTAACGTCATTTGAAATGGTGGCGGGTGCGGTGGCATTAGCAGCTTCCTCGATTGTATTGTAAGAGATTCCCTGCCATTCCCAAGTCTGAGGTGTGGAGAATTCTGACAGAGTAGTGGGTGACGGGTTTCTGACTACTCCCAATGCCTTGGGTGTGCTGCTAGTGTGTGGTTCCTCTGCAGGGGCAGCTGGCCCTGCTTCGGATGATGTGGAAGTGGCCTGACTTCTCCAGGGGTCGGTAGGCTCACTCACGATGTGTTTTCCTGAAAACGCAACACTGCCAAGGTTGTATTGAGACATTGAGATCGATGTAGAGGATAGGGGGAATGATGTGACAGACAATGTGTGAGTCGATCGATTCTTGGTCTCAGCCTTGTGATGTTTAGAAGGGGATCTCGGGATCTTCCTCGATAAGTCCTTCTTCTGCTAGTTCCTCTCGTAAAGCTTCTGCTTGGTAGTGTCAGTATTCTCGTTCTTCCTCAAAATCAGGAATGAGACAGAATGGTGCTGAGTAAGTTGTGTAGGCATGTACTTGTACCATGTAGTGGTAGAGTACTTGTTGCCAGTTGGTGATGAGAGGTTGATAGATGAAATATGTGGTGCAGATGACTGTGAGTTGTCCCTGCGCCAGGTGGTAATGGTCCACAATGTAGTTTGTGTATATAAAGCTGAATGTGTATCTTGGCATGAAACTGCTGATGTGGTAGTACAAAATATTACTGGTCCTAATAAGGCCAGTAGCACGACTCCTTCTTGAACCTTACAATGTCTCATCCTATGCGCTCCTGCTCCTTGTTGATATCCCTGAATGAGATCTTTCCTAGTCCCACGCAAAGCTTGATAGCGATGCATCCATCGACGAATGTGAAGTCATCGCCTCGCCCAATCCTCTCGTTTAGTGCTCCCAAGTGTCACAGAATGCGATCGCGACACTGGATTTGTGCTTCCGTGAACTTGACAGCGATGTGGGGCTGCTGCAGGACTTTGTACTGCTGGATGGTAGCATGTACAGTCAGTGCGATGTTCTCAGGAAGGGTGCCTTTGAGATTCTCATGTATCTCACATGGATGGTAACTCTTTGAGAGTGCAAATGCGAGAACAGCGGTAGCATCATCGTTGGCCCACCAATGGGGTTTGTAGATAGGGACAGATGGGTCAGATGCATCTTCTGGAACTGCTTTGGCCCACGAGCTGACCTTAGTGTGTAGCTTCTGTAGGTCAGAGCCATAGTCGTTGGGTTTGGCTCAGAGTAGGTTGCTTGCCGTCAAACGACGAGTGCGTCTGGGGTCGGGATGGTAAGGGTGATATCGTCCGTTGGGCGGTACGATACCATTGTGCACTTGAGGTGCTTTACCGGTCAGTGCAGCGCTGTTCCTTTTGAAGGAAGGAAGTGGCATAGGTGGTAGAGGCGAAGTGGAATGGTAGGAAGGAAGTGGTGTGGAAAAAGCCCTGCCCTGGACAGATGTGTCTCTGGGCGAAAATGTGCAGCTATCAGTGTTAGACACTTGGTAGGGGCATAAAAGGTCAGTCTTATTCTAATGTCATGGCACACTGATGACAAAGATAGACCACCAAAATAAAGAGTCCCCTTGAGGGTCTCCTGGGTAAAACCTACAGCGACGAGCTGTGGTGGTTCGACGTGCCCACTGATGAGACCTAGTCGCTAGTCGCAGAGTAAGACTTACTGGTGAGGCAAAAGGTGCTATCACAACAGTGAGGATGAAAACAGATGTATAACACTGTCACAGTTTTACCTGACAAGTGATTAAAGGAACAAATGCTATTAAGAAGCATATCATTTTTCGTCATTTCTCGTCGCACTAGAAGTCACGTGACCTAATGAGATAAGATAACGAGGCATCCAGTCACATGACCTCGGATCTCTCTCGGCATTGTCACGTGACACCGAACTCCTCGGCATGGCGTCATATGTCGCAATCGCCATGACGCCATATTGCGTGCTCAAGAGGAGCTCCGTCTCCGTGGGTTATTATTAGGCAGCCAATCAGGATAATTGGGACACATCGTACGATTGTAGCACCATCCAGTAGAATAGCGTGTGACTCGCTTATGTAGTACTGTACAGTAGCCAGACAATCATGTATATAAGGACCAGCGAGACGAGGAGAAGACCTCAGTCTTATTCTCCTTCGTCCACCACTACCATCACAGAGGGGTCTTACCAGACACTCTCAGTGTGCTATACATCCTATTACATTCTCACTTGTGTGATAGTGCCTCTAGCCTCGCCAGTAAGTCTTGCTTTGCGACCAGCTACTAGGCCTCGTCAGTGGGCACGTCGTATCGCCACAGCTCGTCGCTGTTGGCTATTAGCCAGGAGGCCCTCAAGGGGACTCTATATTTGGTTGTCTATCTTTGTCATCGGTGTGCCGTGACAAACACACTGAGAGTGTCTGGTAAGACCCCTCTGTGATGGTAGTGGTGAACGAAGGAGAATAAGACTGGAGTCTCTCCTCGTCAGACCTGGTCCTTATATACATGTTCGTTGTGCTACTGTACAGTACTATCTAAGTGAGTCACATGCTATTCTACTGGTCAGTGCTACAATCGTACGACATATCCCAATTATCCTGATTGGCTGCCTAATAATAACCCACAGAGACGGAGCTTCCTTTGAGCATGCAATATTGCATTATGGCTATGGCATCATATGATGCAATGCCGAGGGGCTCAGTGTCACGTGACAATGCTGAGAGGGGTCTGAGGTCATGTGACTAGATGCCTTGTTATCTTATCTCTCATTAGGTCACGTGACTCTTGTTCGACACGAAATGATAAAAAATGATATGCTTCTAATAGCATTTGTTCCTATAATTACTTGTCAGGTAAAAACTGTGACAGGCTCCAAAGCGGTGAGATGCCAACGTTCATTGTACCAAATGTGGTAAACTCACATGTCTGTCCATTAAGGTGTTCTTGATGGACATGCTCGACAACATGCCACACCTGTGCCTATCAAGTGACCATCTGCGCTTCATCCTTTTCATTTTTCATGAACTGGGAGTTCATGGTGTGCCTTCCCTTAAGGCATTTCGCAAGAAGCAAGATGAGATTGTGAAGATTTGTGGCATTAACACAGATGCAAAGCGTACCTCATTTAGCCATGTCTTCTATCAGAACTGACTGGCAGACCTTATAGCACAGGTGCGTGTCAGGGTTATTATGCAGATGGAGAAACTGAAAGAAATCAAGGACTACGTCAATCCTCATACTCGACCACATATTGAATTGTATTCTATCTGCAGTACTCGAGTCAGTGAACCATATCACTCAAAAAAGTGGGTATACGAGACAGTGCCAGAGCTACAAGCCCCTATGTGAGCTGACAGCTGCAAACATTATTATCTTGGTGAGCTAGCAGCATTGCATGATGGATGATATGTCGTGCCTAACACTTGATACCATCGAGAGTCCCATGGTGAGGTGCTGTGTGAGGCATATAATGTTCTGCATGATCCATCGGTGAGTTCCTATTCACATGATCAGAACCCTATTGCAGAACGTAACAAGTACTTAGACCAACAGCTTCACCATCAGTGATGGACCATTGATAGAGGTTCACACTGGTGAGCTCAAGTCCAACTACTATGACCTCAGTGCAATGAGTGTAGTCTGTGATCTATCTGGTGAGTAGACGTACCATCAATGCATGTGATTGAAATGAAGTCAACGCGTGATCAGGACCGCTTCCACAAGGTATTTACATTGGCCTCAACCCACTACGTGAGATCGCCAAAGGACGATGCATGTATACGAGCTTTATAAAGCCTTGGGGAGATGATGTCTCAGGAAATCGCAGCAAACAATATAATGACCATACCAATGTGTATCTGGTATATGCAAATCTGCCACACATGAAGCTATCACAGGAGTACTTTGTACACTTCCTGTCCATGTCACAGCATGCATGTGCCGGTGAACAATTCGATGTGATGATCAATAGCATTGCATGAGTCAGTTATCAATTGCATCATTCTCTGAAGAGACTGAGATGCTGCGCAGGAGAGAGAATATATGGCATGAAGCTTACGACTATGAAATCAAAGAAGAAGTGCTGGTTTGAATTTTGCTAAACTTGTTCCGTGCTGACAATCCTCAACAGTCAGAAATTTGCTCACATGTTGGCCTGAAAGGGTACCACTGATGCCGCAAGTGCACGCTTGGCAGGACAGAACTGGAGCAAGAATCAGATCAGAAATACCATGAACACTTCTCGGTGAGAGCATCATGCGTGATCAAGTCACCTGGACACTCACATGAAATTAGCCTGGCCCTCTGCGCAAAGTAGAACATACCAAAAAGGAAGTGCTTCAGCAACTTCACCTGGTGGCACTTGGCATGGCATCTGCAGTTGCAACAAGACAGACTGCATCGGGTGTCAAGGACAAGGTTGCCGAGCATTGGATCCAGACTCTCATCACAAGTGCTCGTGATCAACAGCAGATTCAGATCCACAATGCTGCAACCAGAGACAGATGCATTAGCAGTAAACGCAGATCAGCCAAGACTGTTGTCGTTAAGATGATCAAGAAGGAGATTCAAGACGAGCTGATCGAGTGGGTCAAGACGCAACCAGCACACTTGTATCAATTGATACCACAAAAATCAGGTGTGCTTATCTCGTTGCATGTTGCACATGCTATCGTTGACTTGAGCATGGTCAATGCAGATTGTGGAGTCGTCTACGCCCTGGAGATCACTATAGTTCCCTGTTAGAGCTCGACAGTGCGTCAGTTTCTCAATCTGTATCAGTCTGCCTGAGCTGTTCTACCACAACTGTTGATGTGCATCAAGACATGCCAGTAGAGCTGCTACATACGTACCTTCTCGGCTAAGACAAATATGTCTGATACCTCACGACATCGGCTTGGTCGCAAAAGCAATGTGATCTTTTCGCAGTCTGCTTGCAAGCGTCTTCAGTGGATGGACTGAACATTCTTCCACTTCGTGCCACTTACATGGTTCAATATAGGAATAATCTGATAGGAAAGCACTTCAAAGCATTGCAACAGCTCAGATTTTTTTACTTACATGAAAATCTGTGTCCTCCACTCATTCTGGACATTTGGCGAGTGACTAGAGAGCTTGGTGCTCTACTGTGGTATCATGAGATTGAGGATATGGATGCTTATCTCGTGAGTGATTCGAATCTATTCTTTCATCGACATTCGCTAACTGAGGTTTCATATTGATACATAATGACTTACAGACATTAATCGACAACGTTCTCGATATCTGGGCCTCAATCGACTCACGGCGTATCTTCGTCAAGCCAAAGCTGCACATTCTCGCACACCTGGTTGAAGACGTGCACCGACATGGCCCACCTATCTTATATTCGACCGAAATTTTTGAATGCTACAATGCCATCTTCCGCATGTGCAGCATTTTGTCCAATCACCAGGCACTCAGTCGTGATATTGTGTGGGCTTGCGCTGAGATGGACCGCTTCAAGCACATCATCAGCAGTGGCTGGTGGAAGGATCCATCCCAGCATCGCTTCATGCAGGCTGGAGAATGCGTCCGAGAGTACTTCAGCGACAAGCATATCCAATGTTGGCTCGGATTTATGCAAGAATACATAGGTCAACCAGGTATGAGGTCAATCGTTTCTTCTTCACATGCTAACTTCCGTCTGCCATCTGTCTTAGGTTCCATTCACTGTCAGAAGAAAGATCACGTGAACGTTGCCTGGGCAGCGATTTGCCTGGCTAAAGAGTCCCTGCGAAGCTCTTTCGCATCTCACTCTACATGGATCTGCGGCCTGTCTGTGGTAGCCCAGAATAATGACAACTGTCACATTGGCTCATGGGCATTTGCTGCTCACAATCATGATGTAAGTGGCATATTGAATGGGTTTAATCCAGATGCTGACTTATTGTGACACTGACAGGATACCGTCTTGATGGGGCATATCATCGAAATCTTGCAAGCTACAATGCCAGGGCTGGATGCATGCAACTGCATCATCATGGAAGCCTTTATTGTCCTCAATAGCCGTCATCCATATTATAACATGTCAGAGTTAAAGCTGGATAGTCTCATAGTGATAGATCCTATGGTACATGCCTCATGCCTTTATGGACAGTCATGTTATAACACAACTGTTACAGTCAATATGCTGTGTGGTCAATGTCCAACACAACTGCTATGATGCAAAATGCGGTGCGACAGGACACCATCAACAGATGCAAGAGCGCACAGTGATGGACATTCACGACACAATCTGGCAACATCGCGACACAGATTCCTATATCATCAATCTCCATGCACTTCATAATGCTGCCCTCATTCGGCGATACCTTCTGTGACATCTCACTGCACCTGTGCCTTATCTCGACAAAGAAACCCGATGCACGAAGCATGATGAGATGGCAGGATCCCTACATAAAATGCAGGCCGAGCGGCAGAAGAAGGAGGAGGATGCCCGCAAGGAATGTTCACAGAGAAGGGCTGCTGGGAAGGTTGTATTGAAGTCAGCTGTTGTTGGAGAAGCAGACGAGAGTGATGCAGTCCCTGCAAACATTGCACAAAGCATTGATGATTCAGAGTCATCCACAGTGTATGAGCCAAATATTATGATTTAGATTATAATGCTATCTATTACTATACTTTATGTACATGAGGGAACTGGCAGAGCAGAAGGGCCACCATATGAAGCCAGATCTGGATAAGGGCTCGGCAGCTGGGAGTGTGCCAGGAGGGGATGAGATGATGATGACATGACCACCAGGATGACCCCATGTGGAGGGATTCAGATGGGGTCCATGTGTGGTCCGCATGGCTCCCAGCTGTATCAGCCACATGGCTCTCATCAGTCCGGGTGGCTGGTAGCCTCATGGACTGGGATTGGCGGTGTACTACTGCGATGACACCTACAGTGCTGTTTGTAAGCTCACTTCCATTTGCACTATACTGTCAGTAGCAGCTCGGAATGGCTGGCATGCTCACCAAATCGATGTCAAGAGTGCATACCTCTATGAAAGTATCACAAACTTAGGACGCAGAGCGCCGACTAAGCCTATGACCTTATAATCAAACACTTACTGACTATTGTCGAAGTAAGGATGGACACAAAGATGATCAATGGTAAAGCAGCGACTTGCAAGTGGTCACTGGTGACACTATATGGATAGGCGTAGCAGAGATGAGAATAAGTCTGGGGGACTTATGCGTCTCAGAGCTCTGGCTTATATACATGAGCGGAGGGACCCTTGGTACCCTGATACCCCAGAACCGCTAGCTAATGGACATTGTCTGATTGGTTACCACTACCTGTCAGACTACGTGTGTCATGTATGCCGAATCTCCGAACTACTTAGTAAGACCATGGGAATGGTATTGCCTGTAATGGCTACATCTCCGGTG